TGCACCAGAGAGACAATGTGAACTGTTCTTGGAGATTTTGAAGAAAAAAGGGGTTGAAGGCTACAGGACACTGTGTGCTGTCCTCGATTCCACACAACAATTTATCAAGGTGAAACTTGATGAAACCTCAACTGAAGAAGGTATTTCAACCTATCACATTCGTCTTCATTCATATCGAATATAATATTACTAATCAAAATCAACAAAAATGTCGGCGTTTTAGTTCAGGTTGGTTCTAAGCACCATAGGCTGTGAAATTGCAACTCATCAGATGAAGTTAGAAGGATTTTTTTCACTTAATACACATATAGTTTTCATGTGCATCAGATATCAATAATGTACACTTCTTAACAATGAATTATCCTAGATTGATCTGTGGAGAAATATGAATGTTTCCGCCCAGGTATGGGCTTACTGAAGCCAGTGTAGTTACACACCCATTCACGTGGACTAAGAAAGAAAAGACAAATCATATAATATGTTCCTGATCGATACATTGGGGTAGGTCTTGGACACACGGACAAGTAAATGTTTCTAGGCGTTTTACCAAAGATAAATATACCAAAGTGCATGTTATAGTCCTGAGGCTAATAATATTTCCTATCCTGCCACAACATATTCCAATGTCCTTCTTCACTTCGATCATATAACGCATAATCTAAAACGTGTTCATCCACAGCCCTCGTTGCCATTGCTTATTCTGTTATGGTTTATTCATTAATTCCCTTCTCATCAGACAAGTGATACAGGGGAGCTTTCTGTTGGCAATTATATCCTTTGACTTTGGGTTTATTATACAATCTACCTGAATAAAACGTCACAGATATCTTTCAAGAAAGCTATCACAATGACGTATGTGGACAACTTTCATTTTGGACCATGCATTTTTGCATTATTGTTTATGTGATCGTGACCAAAAAATATTTCCCGCGGTTGATTGTCCAAACTGTCGAAAGTGGATGTCAATGTCACCAGAACTGTCTCCCACCAGCGTTTCTCCTCGTCTTGGATCGCCATCTGTCGCGCCTAATTGTGTCACTATAAGGGTCCTCGTCGTCGAATATCTGGGATGCATCCTCCTGGCGACTGTCGCTCTACTGGGGATCAGTGCTTTGTCTGTGACTGGCGATCCACTGGCGATTGTCCTGAGCTTCGTATCTATTCGATGATACAACGTCTTGCCATCATCTAACAAATACATTACCCTGACATTGCTGATGCTTGCCATATGGATGGCGCCTTCACATTTAATGGCAACAATGGGTGCATCAGTGTCTGGTATGTGATCGTCACCAGAACAGTCCCCAAATGCGCCTCTCTTCGTCCTTGGACTGGTGATGTAGCTTTCTACACTTGTACAAGTGTCTGCATGGGAACCGGCGCTCAGAGAATTACTTTGCAGTCCACACCTTTCTGTGGATGATCCAACGTTAAGGAAAGCAACACTATACTTGAAATGAGCTCTACTGCGAATGGCTGTCAGAAAACCGTTTCCGTTTTCAACTTACTAACACGCAGAACTACACGTTATGTTCACCACTCATCACAGTTTTCCTCCACATTAGGGATGGGCAATTCCATCGGCGGCTACTCCACTTGGTAAATATTGACTGCTACAACTTCCAGGGCCATCCTGGTTTGTGACAGTGGCTTCAGTTACACTTTCTCCAAGTACAGTCTTGTGATAACGTCTTAGCACTGGGGGTGTGATCACACGAAACCTATCACGACTTCCATGTGCTTGGTGTCTCCGTCCCTGACACCTGATTATGTATTCACATATTCCAGATGTGCCAGTGAGCACTCCACAGACGTTAGATGCGAATTCCGAAAGTGGAGAAACTTTAAACGGGTTTGACAATAACATTCTCACCTCAGGCCAATTGACTCATAATTTTCGCTCCAACCATGATCAACTGGGAATAGCTAGGACTATTAGTGACAGCCACTGTGGGTACACTCCAGTGACCTGTTTGGCAGAACAGTTCTACACGTTGCTGACCGGCGTGCTACTAGAGGCCTTGTTTCACCACATCTCGGGCGTTACACATGTCGTCGCAGACGCGATGTCAAGGCGACACCAGTCCACGCCAACATAATGACGACTTCATCCGAATTTTTTTTAGTGGATTGGTTAACAGCCGAACACGCCCAACACAGATACCACAAGATACGACCACCAGCTTCCAATGTTCGACTCTCCAATCTCAGATTCACTCTTCTGGGATCACGATCCACTGGCCATGTTCTGGAACACAATGCACACCTTCATATTGTCGACATCACCACTACTACTTAGAGCACTGCTGAAGTTGACTAAAACTAGTGCCAACGTCTTTCCATTGTGCCTTATAGGTTCAGGAGACTGGGAAAAGCAATTCCGCAATGCATGCATGAAGCCGACCCATTAATCCCCAGACCGTTGGCTCTGCACGTGTGGAACATCCACAACCATCAACCCATTCCTTGCCGTTTTCTAGGTCCAGAAGAGTGGCATGCTTGTATTTGGGAAGTCAATGCCTTGAATGTAACTTAACTTAAATTTGACAATGACCAGATGCCTCATATGGACCTAATGTGGGATTTTGTGGTCAAACACCATTGTTTTCCAGATATTCTTTGTGTCACATAGTGTTACAATAACTATTCAGAGGGATTGTTGGTCTCCGATTCTACGGGACGTGCTCGGAGACACTGAAGCATCAATTTACATGTGAGAGTTAAGGATATGGCAGGGGATATGGATTAGTGAGGATTACTCTCGCTGAGCATATTCTTATCCATACGTATTCCAGAGCTGGTCAGCAATAAGGCAAGCTGCTGTAGCGGATCCCAAGTGTTGCAATATTTTGTGAAGGGATAGAGCATATGCTACATGAATTTGGTTATTCACGCTATTAGAATCCTTACATTGTCACAAAAAGTCTCTGTCCCAGGCCTAAATACCACGACACATGCTGACGAGTAGACAGTTGAGTATTAAGGGCGGATACCTCTGCTTGGTAACCAAAGGCAACGTGTGTCCAGGTGCAGAAGTGGCCTGTTGTGGCTTCTATTCTATATGATCAAATGGAAATACATTGTGCCAGGATAGGTATTCTTATAACATGAATAGCAAACGTCGACAAGCAAGGAATTATTCCAAACAATATCAACTTAAAATTTTATTCCTTTTCGAAGATATATGACAACAGTCTTATAAATCTTGTCACACCCTGTTTTCTACTGGCCAATATTATATTTTCAGGTAGTTCAGATCTAGTCTATGTCAACAAGGAAAAGGTAGAAGCTCACCACAAAAAACAACTTGCTGAAAAAGATGGGCAAATAGCTGACATGCACTCTGTACGTTGTGGAGAGACAGCACAAGCTCGTCAATTTATTATGTTAAGAACTACCTTGTTTTGAGAAGAGATATATATTTAGATGTATATGGTTTTAACAATGGTAGTGATTATTAAAAGTACATTTACACCAACGTTGAAGTTTTCATAAAAAAAGGAGTGTAACATGGAAAAAAATGACATAAACTGCTACATGTATATGCAGTCGATATGAACTTCTTAAACGGTCGTTCGCGTTTGTTTTAAGGCAATGGAAAGATATGAGGTACAAGTTAAACAAAAAGACACAGACTATGCTGAACTGGAAGAACAACTTATAAAAGAAAGAGGGGATCTCACAACACAGATAGAAAAGAAGAATAAGGAAGTTGAAGCTGGTAATCTGACATAAATAATATATAGTTCAATATCGCTTCTATCCACAATTTTGATTTTGCTTATGTTGCCAGTAAAAAAATGTTATATTTGGTATAACACTTTCTTAGTGAAGTACAGATTCTCGTACTTGTTCAAGCAATGATTTTTTCGTTTGGTTTGTTGTTTAACGCCGCACTCAGTAATATTCCAGCTATATGACGGCGGTCTGTAAATAATCGAATCTGGACCCGACAATCCAGTGATTGATATCATGAGCATAGATCCACACAATTGGGATATATGACATGCATCAACCAAGTCAGCGAGCCTTACCACCCGATCCCGTTAGTCGCCTTTTACGACAACCATAGGCACATTTTATGGCAAGCATGGGTTGCTGAAGACCTATTCTACCCCGGAATCTGCACGGGTCCGAAAGCTTTGAACACACAATGTCATACCCCTCTGACAAGCGTAAATTGGCACGGCTCCCAAGGCTGAAATCAATGAACACACAATGACATTTAGAAAGTGGTCAAATGTAACAAATAGTATATATTTGGGATAACACATTCTTAGAAAAGTACTGATTCTCGTACTCTTTTTGGTTGAGTCCCATCCGGGATTCGAACCCACACTGTCACTGCCGGATAGGACTCAACTTAAAAAAGTACGAGAATCTGTAATTAAATAAGAAAGCGTTATCCCAAATAAAACATCTGATCACTTGCTAAATGGCATTGTGTGTTCATATTTTGCCAGTGTTCACGGTGGTAATGGACCATCCTGGTTTCCAATGACCTGTCTACACATAAAACTGTTATCTGAGGCTATCCATGCATTTTTCTCGTTTCAGTGAAAACAAAATTGTCAAAGGCAAATGATGAGTTGCTGCAGATTCTAGCAAAATGTGAAACAGTGGAAAAGGTGAGATTGGTTCAACTTAAATATTGAAGGGGTTATTTTGCACAGCTTCTAAACTAAATGGCAATAAATTAACACGTAATATCTTGATAACAAGATACATGTCTGTGATGCAGTGAAAACTGTCGTTTCAGAGACTACAAGAGGAATTGGAGGCATATGATGCTTTATTGGGGGTTCCCAGGTCCCCAGACAGGGTACACGTTAGAGAGGAGGTCCAACATGCAGGTATATTTAACAAAGTGACACTCCATCTTATATATGTAACTTATGAACAAAAATACAATAACACGGTAAGTAAGAGCCTTATTATATATGTCTGATGAATCAGTTCCTTTAAGCTTTAAACTGATCGTGTCACTTGTTTTTCCTCAGATTCGACAGAGCGAATGTGTCAATTTTCAACGAAGTCCTGCTGTGATTGGAGTCAGCTTTGCCTTCTTCCATGCCTTCATTCTGCCTGCAAGCCATGCATTGATCACCAAGTCACCCAAGCCAAGCAGAATTACATACAGTGTCCCTCCTGTGGCCGTGAGTTCAACATGGAGCAGACAGCAGTGGACCATGTCGGACGCAATGAAGCTGCCTATACTGCTAACGTTGATGGAGAGAAGAAATGTAACTACATCGAAGGAGATCATGATGCAAAGGCTGTGATGTACTGCCACGAATGCGATGACCGGCTCTGTTACGACTGTCTTAAACTGCACAACAGACTAAAACGCAATCGAACCCACAGAATGGGTGAGATCAACCTGGCGGCGAATATCCCTATAAAGCATTGGCTGAAACAACCTAACTGCAGAGACCATCCCGACAATAAGTTGCAGCTGTATGACCACACATGTAAGCAGGCAATCTGCCTTGTGTGTGATCGAGGGGCCCACAAGGATCACAAGAATGAAGACGTGAATCATGCCTATGTGGAAGCAAAGGGTCAGCTAAGGGAGCAGGTGCAGAAGCAACGACTTAAACTGAAAGATGTCACAGTCAGAATGACAACTGTCAACAGTCACCAAAACGAACTTGGAAATAAACAGAGAAAGCTGGAACAAGATGCCACTACAGTCTTCCAAAGTGTTGCTGTACGGTTCCTTCACCGGCAGAGACAACTCATGAAGGACATACATGCGAGTCTTCAGGCCCCAAATGAAATGGTTAAAGAGAAGCTGGACACTTTACATGACGTCCATACTTCAATAGAATCAACGATAGACTACACCCAGAGAACACTTGAATCCACAAGACAGGGGGAGCTCATTACTCTCACCGGTGTACTACAGAAGAAATCTGATGAAAATCTGAAGAGGAAGCTTCCAGAAGATAACACACACGACACGAGAGTCCTTCTTTCCTTTCAAGGACAGAAAGCCCTGATGGAACTAATCGACACATTTGGTGGTCTTGCCTCCAGTCTCGACTTGGATCATTTTCCAGATAAACAGCCTACTTTACAGGGTAAGAATGCTTCTTCAATATCGGAACACTGATCGTGGACTTTAGGAACAATATCCTATATCATAGCTAAGTGTTTTTGTATATTTTAAGTTATCTTATCTTGCATGCCTTAATACCAAATCGATTTAAAAGTAACTTGCTATTCCATGTACAGTGGCCCAGTTTTATATTTGACTTGTATTTTATCTGAGGTGAGACGAGAAAATATTATTTGTCTGTCTCTCTGTCTGTCTGTTTGCCTGTCCGTATGTACGATGGGTAAGACGAAAACTGTTACCAATAAGGTAATCAATCTGTGTTTGTAATTGTCTCTTCAGATCTCCATAAACAGAATAAACAGCTGGCATTAAAAGAAGAAGAAACCAGCGCGGTAATGTATTGCTTTCGTAACAGAATTTTGTTTTATCAACATGTTTTCTGATAAAGGGTTTCAATGGCTCATACATTGAGTACATACATGGCTCAAATTGTGAGTAAAACATATGTAATTAACACGGTTGGAATCAAGTTGCACATCGTTCATAACACCCACATAGCTAAATGTTACATGCAGTCGATAAATAAATAATGTATGTGGTATGATATGATACCCAGCTATTGTGTGAGCCAAAGGTTATGTTCTGATCTCTATGGTGTCTGCGATGTTGTTTCAGGTACATGAAGGGCGGTGGCATCGGCTTGGGGAGATGATCCGTCGCATCACAGGTACAATATAACACCTGGATGTAGGTCAGGAAAAGCAGATTAAATACCAAATGAACTAAATTAACCTTCAAACTTTAATATAGAATATCAATGTATCCAGTGTATCAGTTTAAGACTCACTTTCTGTTTATATCAAAACAGTATTGAATATTGCAATCCAATACATTTATCTACCAACAGGTTCTGCTACAAGTGGAGATGGATCACAGGGACTCCAACCTGAACAGCTCACACCACAGGATCTCCGACATGAACAGCTGACACAACAGGAACGCCGACCTCAACAGCTGACACCACAGGAAGTTTACGAAGTCACATGTGTACGTTAAATGACAAACAACCCCCACCCACTCAAAATGTAAACTGCGAAGTATAGAAGAAAAGGAAATCATTCAAAATGATCTAGCCCAGAAACGTATTTAGATTTATACATAGAACTTACATAAGTGAATGAGTGAGTATGGTTTTACGCCGCTTTAAGCAATATTCCAGCAATATCACGGCGGCGAACACCAGAAATGGGCTTCACACATTGAACCCACGAACTTACATAATGTGTCAAGCTTAATAATAATATGTTTTCAGTTCATACTCGGAGCATCCTTCCTTTCTGAGTCGCCTTCACGTGGTTTATTATTGAGAGGTATGTACAACACGATATCGGATTTAGTTATTTAGTCAAAACTATATCTCGAATGTCAGAGTTACAGTCAAGTTGTAAGATGTCACCAGTTTACTAGATTTCCAGGTAACGGATACATGACCCATAGCAGTTATGTATAGCAAACAGTTACACCTGTTTAGTGAGCGATACTGTACGCCACAAACCACAACTGGTTACATCAAACGTCCTTGCTATTTTCAAATAATAACATGTAATGATACGGCGAGGCCTCGGAAATGCATGACCTCTTTCGTTTGTATAATATTCATTGTACATGTTACACTTTAAAATCGTTGCTTCTGGCATGTCAGAAAATACATAGTTATTAGGAAGTTTTATGTAGTTCACTGAATAATAAAAGGCAAAATGAGGTAACTAGCTTCACTTGTGTGCTTCCCATCTTATGTTGGGGCATGTGCTGCCCATGTCGACATTTGTTTGTCTACATTTGCACCCCTTAATCGTGCCATGATCCTCTGAACTTAGTATCATGGATTCAAATCCTAGATTCGACCAGATCATGGTTTTAGCTTCAAAGAACCATATGATGTTTACTCTTTAAAACAACAGTGAAAGACTCACTCGCACTTTACTATGCTTTTATGTGAGAATAGTATTCAGAGACAAATGTGCCAAAATCATGTATTACAATGAAAACTATATTTTGCAGGGTACTCAAGTCCAATTCACATCATCAACAAGAACAGAAGTGTCATATTCATCACATGTAAGTGTTTGTTTATATCGTAGTTAATGTTTATTAGGCAATTGGATTAAGCAATAGTTTCTAGGATACAAAACCACTTAAAAAGTCAGTTGCTTACAATGTGTTACCTGTATTACCATCGTGTGTCACCGGCGTTGATCGTAGTACGTGTTATCAATCACCGGTGTGCTGGATGCGACTTTATAATGACCAGACGTCCATGACGTAAACGAAACATGTAAATGTAAATGAAAAGTTTAATACCAAAGGGATTAAAACAAGTCACGCGTTGGACCCTTGTACCTCCAGCAGTTGTAGTGAGGTTAAGGGATTAATCATGGCTGGGAACACATGGAATGGGCTTCACACATTCGACCCTTGTTGGGAGTCAAACCCGACGTGAACATGGTAACCCTTTAAACACAAGGCTACTCCACTACCACTCCAGCAGTTGTACTTTCCAGTTTTGCAATCGTATGGGTGTTCTCATTAGTGGTGTAACGATACGGCGATACAGTATTGTATCCCGATGCACAGCCCACGATACGATGCATCGATTTTGAAAGCATGTATCGCGATACATACGATATTTTCATAACACAGTTTTACTTACGTATTTTCTTGAGTATAGTGCGCACTTTATTCACAAAAACAGCTGTGTAGAAGGGGGTGCGCATTATACACGAATTAATGAGTTTTGATGTTTTTTCCCCCATGGAAAGACATTACCGTGAGCACGTAACACCGGAAATACCATGTCAACAAATCCATACTGAAGTTCTCAAATTATTCAGGTAATTACACTGTCTGGCTAGAAAAAGTGTTCTTTGTATATTTGGACTTATGTTTGTAACTTATTTCATTAATTTTATTCCAAATTCCTTTTCATATTGTTTTAATTAATTTCGGCGAAATCGTGTCTGAAGCGATCGAAAGATCGCACAACTCACCGTTATTAACAGCAACCACGGTCAGGTTACCGCTATTGACGCCTTGAAACAAACTCTTGTTGACAGAGAATGGATACATATATCATAAATGCCATACTTTGATTCGTTAAAAGCCATATTTGTTTTTGTTGGACGATTCTATGTCAACACGAAAATCTCGCGATCACGTGCACGGGAGCCTGGACGGTGACTGGTCAGACTGGTTCCATGTTAAAAATAATACCCGGCAATAGCGATCAGCTGCTTCGCTTAGGGTTATTATTATTTTAAATATGTTTAGTAAAAGCTGCATCTAAATTAACAAGATATTGGAATATATTATTGCTGATAAAAAAAATACTTTCAGATACAACTTTTGCCGATCCTTGCATTAAAATCCTGTTAAGTTATATCATTTGGTGTGTCTTGACCGAATCACCGGTAGATTCCAAGAAAACGTGTGTACAGCTGGTTGCTGTGTCCGGCTTAGTTTACGACAAAATACACAAGGTAATCTTAATCCCTGGATATAAAACAATGCCTAGCTGAACAAAAAATACAATTTAAACGGTAAATCAACATGTCTGGTGATTTTTTATCTCAAATTTCGAATTTGTACTGACGAAGTCTCTCATCACCCGTTCGTTTGCCACACTTCGCTGAAGGGGTACGGTGTATTTTTTTTCTGCGCATAATATTCAAATTTCTTTTTTTTCCAAAATATTGAACCCGCTAGAGGGGGGTGCGCACTATACTCAAGAAAATACGGTACTTTTAAACATGAAATACGTTGAACAGTTTCAAAGCCAGTTTGTTGTTTCAGTAAAACATACTGTATTGCTGACAAGATGCTATAACAGTAAATAAACACCTTATATATTCTCCAACTGTACTTGTCACATCTTTTAGAGAGCAGAAAGACATCAACTTGGCTTAGCTTGTACTAGTAAACACTGTATCGTGATACGTATCGTATCGCGACCCCTGTATCGCGATACGTATCGTATCGCGACCGTCCCGTATCGTTACACCTCTAGTTCTCATTCATGTATGTTTTCTGTGGGAGCATCTTCCAGAACTGTAGAAAGCTGTAGTGTAGTACCGGCAGAAGGTGAGCTGGGTGAAACACAAGAAAACATTGATAGGTAGCACAAATCAATGGCGTATGATGAAAAGACAATGTGCTGGAAACTCACAAATATTGTTTATATCGGCTGAGCAATCAGATTCACCCATATTCTGTGTCAAGTGTCCATGTAGGTTCACTGTGTGTGGCCATGTCTGGTGTTCCGAGCTGTCTTATTGCTGGAATACTTCTAAGCAGTGTAAAACCATATTCACTTACTCGCTTAAAGAAATAGGCTCCAAGCATACAATTCAAATCGTTCTGAGAATATTCAGTCTCGATTATCTAAAGAAACATATTATGTTTGGCAGTAAAGGCAAAATAGTGATGAAAAAGTATGTGACCGAATCACCGAAAATTAGTTGATGACACCAGGTTTCCGCGAAAATGGACGTCCTGCTCTACCAGTGGCACCCGGCAATTTTTAGAAGAATTACATGTTTTTGTGTTTGTCCTAACGCCGAAAACTAACAATACTACTCCCATACGAATGCGGCCTGTAAACAATCGAGTCCTGACTTGACAATCCAGTGATCAGTATCATGAACAATGACCCACGCTGGCGGGGTACGACGCTACGCCGTCAACCAAGTCACCAAGCATGTGTGGGGATGTGTGAACACTCCCTATAGAGGTCATAGTAGGAAACAGCATCGCGCATCCTTTGACAATTAGCGTGTCATATTTGGTAAATTCCTCTGAACGTCTGTCATAGGATATCTGGATTAGATTAGATGTAATTGTCTTGACCAGGCCTGTGAGGGTTACTCCTTGATTAAAAAGATAAGATGTAAACGCACAAAATGTGAATAATCTGACATCCTCACTTCAGTCCCCAAACAACCGGGATATGTAGACGTCATAAGCTGGGCTGATCTATCATGACCTCGACATCATCGTGGAAATTAAGGATGTCAAAACAAAGGCTAAAAAAATCATATTATTGACAAGGCATTACTTCCCATTTGTGCAGCAATTTCGAGTAATGACGAAGTTAGCCAACCAGCCAACTTGAACTTTGCACTTCTTTGATTTTTTTATTGATTTTTATTGTTTTGAGGTGCTATCACATATGTGTGACAACACAATAAGCAGTGTCCTAGCCAATTTGCGTTTACTCCTTGTGTGTGTTTGTTTTAATTTTGTTTATTAGTTTTTAGTCTACCACTACATATGTAACACTTGTAAAAGTTCAGCTTTTTTATAGAAGCACCTCATATAGCGGTGAGGTAGGCCAGTTTGATCGTCACGTCAAAGATGAGGGTTCGATTCCCCACATGTGTACAATGAGCATGTGAATTCCATTTCTGGAGTCCCTCACCGTGATATTGCTGGAATATTGCTAAAAGTGGCTTATTTACAATATTCACTCATGTGAATCACATTAACTATGTACATATATTCGCTCGTCACGCTGAAGACACGGGTTCGATTCCCGACATGGGTACAATGTGTGAAACCCGTGTCTGGTGTCCCCCGCCGTGATATTGTTGGAATATTGCTAAAAGCGGTGTAAAACCATACTTACTCACTCACTCACTCATTCAATGTACAAAAACAAATATACATGTAACTTTGATGTTGATTTCTTGGGTGGTGAAAGGTTGTTAATGTGAAACAAGTGTGAGTGTCTTTTTCTCTAATAACATAGTATTTGTTTATTTCTTAATAACACCTGTGTTTTTGGCCGAAATAAAAATGACATTTCATAAATAAAAGGTACAGAATCATGTCCATGTTAACTGAGGAATTTTGACAAGAATTGTCATTTTGAAGTAAGACGAGTTCTATGGATGAACAACTTCTTTATTACAATTAGTGCGACGTTTCGGTGTAGATCCTAACACATCCTATCAAGCAAGTGATGAATAGTGCTAAACAACATAGGTATATATACTTATTAACATCAAAGTTTATACAGTATATAATTGATGGACACAGAGAGTTGATTAAGACAATTGGAAGGCAGTGGATAGGGAATAGGGAGTAGCCCGTATTTAAATTTTAAGCTGTTCCATATTTGTGAATCTCTGGGCCGGTTTGATGACTTTTCCATCATCAGCAGGGTGAGGTAGGTTTCAGATGAATGTAAGTCACCATTATCACATACCAGATGGAATAAGTGTGAATTAGTCCGGGATTGTCCGTAAACAATGGATTTTGTTATGCAATGTCATAATAATAATATAACTGTTTATACAAATCATTCACAAATACTTATCCCAGTCAATACACTTGACAAACTCCCCGCCCAGCGAGTGCGCTTAAACTGTGTTCAGTGATTGAAGCGGACGTAGAAGTTACCTGTTCACACTGTGTCTGTTGAACACTCGAATGTAAAAATATCACGAAACAGCACTTTTGTCAAACTCAGTCTTTACTATTATGTATAATGGGAGTTTAGAATCCCTACAATGATAGTTTAATCGTGAAATAACTTTGAAACATTTACATAATTAGGCAGTGGGAGTCTATTAAACACAGCAAAGTAGGTCAGATGCAACTTTGTAAAAACGTATCTAAAATAGCGTGTATTTGTTTATCAATGCGTGCAAAAATGTATAACAAACAATTTGAGCACCCATCCAAATTATATCACAGCGTTATTATTTAAATTAAGAGTACAGTTATCATTAAACTCGTAGGCAGATGAAAATGGCAGCCGATCAATTATAGCGCTGTTTTTGGAATCATTGTAACAAAAATCATAAACAAAATGATTCATTGTAGTAAGTGCAAGTGCTAAACTACAAATAAAATCTATATTTCCAGGTCCTAAACTCCAACTGGACGCTGCTCGAGCCAACACAGACGTGTGCCATGTAACTACAGACGGTGAGCTGGTCAACTCACCGCGCGCCACACGGTCACGTGACAGGCGCAGGCTGCAGAAATATAGGGGCACGTGTACCTCCACCCCCATCCCACTTTATCCATCCCCCTCTAGTGTCACCCCTGCCCCCAAC